TCCCGCTGCCACCATCCAAGGCTCTGGACTCACTTCTGGCTCTGTGCACCTTGGAAAACACAGGCCTGATCGTCCAATGGGTACTAGACCCAATACAAGCACTTGGGGCACTTCCCCAAGTCAGGGGCTGTCTAGGGAAGCCTCCCTTAGTCCACAGACCTAAGGGGCCTCCTTGGCATAATTTAGACCCACTCCTCAATAAGTCTCCCACACCAGTCACAAAGGAGAACTTTATTGATTACGGGGGTAGGGCGGAAACAGGGTAAAAGGTAGAGCAATATCATAGAAATGTTACAGGAATATCAAAGGAATCCCATAGAGCAAACCAGGGTGGCTGAGGTAGCCGTTTAAACACGCATCTCAGTTACTGAAGCTAAATATCTAATCGGATCTCGAGTAGCTTACTCACACGCATCGTCCAGAGGTGGTTGGAGGTTTCCTCTGGAGGCAGGGCACTCTTGGAGCATGTGGTGATGAGGAGAGAGCCAGTTCAGATTCACCTGGATGACCGCATGGCTAATGGCTCCCCTTCTTCCTGGCCCAGGCGTTTTTATAACCCCTCTGACCTCAGCAGCTGATCCAATCGCAGATGCCAATACTGGCTACAAACCGACCAATCTACAAAGCATCCCTGGCTACCTGGGCCCGCGTGCAGGGCCGGGTCTTTCCCTCCCCTGCCCAGGTGACCAGAGCATCGCCTCCCAGGCGCCAGGCTTTTGTCTGCAGACAAGGAGCGAGATCCCCGCTGTGAGGGATTCAACCGCCGCCTCTCAGGCTGGTGGAGACAGATCTCGGAAGAGGGGCACCGACAGTGGCATTTCTGCCACATGGGGCTCCTGCTGCAGGGATTCCAGCTTCAGAATCTCTCCTCCCTCTCCCTCCAGCAGAGAGGTAGAGGCAACTGGGGCTGAAGTGCCTTTTACTGGCCCGAGCCCTAGGACCAAGACTCAGTGGCTGCTCAGCTGTCTTGGTTGAGCTATTGAGCTCCACTGTACTCTATCCATTATTTCTATCTCCAGTGCTGCAAGTTACATCTGTATTACATAGAGAGCAACCCCACCTTTTGTCTGTAATTTTGGAGGTGATGCACCAACTCTCATGTACCTGTATAGGAATCTATTTAAATTGGAGGTCCAACTAAGTTGCATATCCCGTCGAGACGCTCCATGGACTGTGGAACACCGAAGAGTTTTGGTTTTTGGGGTTTTTTTAGCTTTTATGAGGACATTGTAATTTTATTTTGATGAGAGGTTTTTAAATGCACGTTCAGTGTCAGAATTACAGTGGAATGGCTTTTTCATCTGTTTGGAGTTCACTGAATATGTTACTTCATCATACTGTCATGAATTATCAGCACCCACATATCTTTAGACTGCCACAAGTTGTAAGAAAACTGCCTCTCCTGTAGTTGTGTGATGGGTTTTTCTTGTGGCTTGATTCCACGTTGGTAGACAATGTTTGCATACTAGTCAGTATTTGTTTTGAAGGTATAGTAATGTTCTTTCTGAACACCAGCCTAACCAATGTCACTATAAACTTTCTGATAAACATTATGATGATGTATAAGTTATATTTCAACAGAAAGGCTTCATATTGTGCAAATGTTTTTTATTAGACATTTTATTGTAAAGGTCATCAAACATAGTCTTTATGCTCTTGTACAGTTATGCGCACTAAGATAGTCACTGCAATAACATTGCAAGCAGAGTTTTTCTTTTGAAGAGAACCCGTATTAACCAGCTTAATCAGAAGTTTTCCTCGACTGATGCATAATTTTATTTTTCTTACAGCATAGTTGGAAGAGAAGATATCACAGAAAAAACATTCAGGGGAAAATTCACTCATTCTGTATTGGAGCTAAAGTGTTGTGAGAATATTTGTATTAAAGTATCATGCTTTTTCATAAATTATTTTCCAACGTTCTGAATTGTTGTAAACAAGTTCAATTTTTGGAATGCATTATTTCTAACTGGCATTTCTATGGTTTTTAACTTTTTAATGACTATTTCACAAAGGGCAAATTGAGATTTGTATATAAAGTATTTGGTCAAGCATTTGTTAACTTAATGTAAATATAAATATTCATAATTAGTGACAGGTCCATCAATATATTTTTGATATTCCATGTATGGTAACAGGAAAGACTGTAATGGAGGATATGTAAAATGGGGACTTTCCAGGTGGAGATGGAGTGGTTTGGAGTTTTTTTAAACTACTAATATTTTTAGACTTGGGATGACCTGTGTATGATCCAACTTCTACATATTTTCCTAATGTAAGCACTTAAGACCGTGTTTGAGTTGTAACCTTTATTAAAAGCAGCTGTCTAGAAGTCATGCCAATTTTTTTGTCAAAAACTTGTAAAGTTGTCATGTATATGTCCAGTCTTTGTATTCCCCAATTGCCTTGTTCAGTCACAACTAAGATGACATTGTTAATAAAAATGTACATACAGATGCTTAGTTTTCAGTGGTTTTTATTGTTTATTGCATTGGTTGTATGTTACATTTTCTGCATATTGTTTGCTACACTGAATATAACCTCCTCCTCTGCCCCCCCCCCCCCCCCAAAAAAAAAAAACAAACACAAAACCAAAAAAAATACTGAGGTAGGGGAAGGAGGGGAAAGAAATGGTGTTCAGAATTAGGGTGGGTGACTATGTAGCCTCCAGTTTGTTACAACTGTTTATAGTAGATGAGCCAAAAATTTATAGGTAGCTAGATTGCTCTGGCCTGATATATAAAATTGTAAGGAACTATTTCCATGATTTAAAAATAGGGTTTCAGAACATTCAGAATTTAGGATTCAACACAATTGTTTTCCCCTGGCTTTTAACTTAGCCTCCTTTAATGCATGTGCATTATGATAGTGTGTAGTTACAGTGACCATCTTTTTCTCCCCACAGAGCTCCTGCCGCCTTCATTGGCTGCTTTATGCTTGTTTTGCATTGTACCTGTGATTGTGACTCTGTCTGGGCAGCCTTTACTGCTCTGCAGCTAAGTTTACTTCTTTGTAGCCGTGGTAATTTTTTTTGCAAATCCATTCAGGTTTACCGATTTTAATGTGTTTTTAATCTGAAGGTTTTAGGATAATTACAAAAGCTAGAAACTTTCCAAAAGCATGAGGATCCCTGAAGGAGCAACCTGAATTTTTAAATTCTACATACAGCAAGGTCCATTTATGAACAAGTGAACTGATTCTCATTTGAGTTGCTACATGCTGTCAGGAGCAGATATTTGATGGACCATATTTTAGTCATGGGTATTTCTTCTGGGTATTGTATATGAACTTGAAGTTACACACTCAAACCCAAACCTATGCAATACAAATTGGTAATATGTTCATGGCCAGATACTGAACTGTTGTACAAGATGTTGCTATGATCCATTATCTGTAGTGATATAGTGACATTTATTATAATGCTCTTGTGTACCAGGTCGGGTACAGTAACAAAACTAATAACACACCACTACATGAATCCTTGCTTTTCCTGTTCTGTTTTTTGTTTCTGGACTACTCCACTGTTTGAACCGTGGAGTTCTTTGTTCTTTATGAAAAGAACTGAACACTAGAAACTGAGAACCAGATGTTAGGCATTTTACATAAATTAGCTCAAGCAGCAAATAAAGGCCTCTTAGTAAAATGCAGGGTTAACAAAATGCACATGAAGAAACCTTTTATATCCAGGTTGCTTGTTTTGCTAATGTAAAATTGAAAATTATAGAATAAAGGTAGAAAATGCTTTTTGAAAAGACCTTTACCTTGTCAAAACAAGATGCTATTAGATAATTATGTGCCAGTACCTGCTAAGAACAAATGCTACCATCTAAACAGTGTAGTCTTTTACTTGGCCTGAAAGCAAGGTGAAACATCCAGGAGGAAAAGCTTAATCAAAGTGTGAGGTGAAAGATCAGAAGTATATTGGAAGAAAACATCTCAAAACTACACTTCAAACTTAGGTGAGATGAAGGTTTGGAAAGGTGCCCAAAAGACCTTCAAAGAAGCAAAATTCCAAGGTGAGTGTTCCTTTTCCTAACTCAGGAGGAAGCCTTTCCACAGCTACAGCCATAAAAAGTTCATTTTTTGCCCAGGGGAGAATTCCCATGCTCAAGGGCACTGTACTAGATGACTTCAGACATTTTTTTACGAGCTGGGACCTTGGGGCAGGGCAGTAACAGGAGGGAAGTGGCTTAGGGTGGAGTGAAGTACTCATTTAGTGTAGTTCCTAGCTTCTCTAATTTTAGGAACATGGTGGCACCCAGAGTAACTCAAAATAAGGTTGTGAAAATGGCTTATACCCATCTTTGCTGAATCTGCCCTTGGGCTGCGTACATCTCTACTGTGTTTCCCAAAGGACAATCACAGAATCATAGTCACTGTGCTGCCTGCAGAAGATTTTCACATAGGGAGTAGCAGTCGTGTGGCTAAGGCCAACACTGATTGAGGAGGTGGGATTTTTCTCTCCTTCTCTTTCTTTATATTGTTAATACTAAAGTATGACAACTCTTATAAACCCAGGAGACTAAAATGTGTGCAAAGGGATAGCAGTTGGAGGAAATTGTGGAGAAAATGGATTAATTCCTCATTAAAACACAACTTTTTAAAGAGTTAAATGGGCCTTTGCTAAGTTAGGGGGGGGAGTTCTTAAGTATGTTAGTGAGCTTCCTTCTTAAAAGCTAAATAGAAGCAATAATACAATGTAAATTTACAAAGAGAACTGTGTTGCTGCTTTGTAGATATGTGAAATTGAAGTAAATCTGAGGCCAAGGTTTTCAGTGTTGGTAACCATCTCAAAGCATGTAAGTTTAAAGTCTGCCGTGTCACAGCAAAATAAAATGGAGTCAAATATTCATTTGGATGGTAAACATCATTACCTAGAATAAATGATGTCTGGAGATTTGGATAAGTATTCAAAGAACTCTTCAGTCCAGGTTGATGTTTTAAGAGAGCTCACGTTGAGCGTGAGGAAAAGGGATGAATGCTGGGAAGACAGTTTGTTTACTACCATGGTATTTTAATACTACCACGGAGCAGTGTCTTGGGTGAGTCTAAATATCAAGTGGATCAGTCGTGAAGGCTTGAAGTTCACTCTTGAGGTCACTGCTGTCTGGGAAACAAATTTCTAGACAAATGCGTTAAGCTTTCAGAAGCATAGTCTCAAAGGGAATTTTCATCAGTTTTGTCAGAATCAGTTAACTATTAGGGCGGTGCGAAGCTTTGGTCAGATTCAATTTGGTGGAGATTTGGCCCGACTGGGTGGCCGAATCTCCGAATCGAATCAGGAGACCCTTTAATCTCTCCGAATCGAATTGGAACCCCCTGAATCAATTTGGAAAGATTCGACAATTCTGACATAGACATAGCTTTAAATGTTTTTTCTATGTACCTCAAGGTACCAGGAGGCTCATGAATGCTGCGATGCTGGGGCGCATGGAGCATCCCACAGGACCGCGGGGGTGGGGGGTCCCCAGCGTGCTCAGCAGCAGACTCAGAAGTGGACCAGAAGCACTTGAGGTATGCCAGGGAGCGCACAGGAGGGCACCCCCCCCTCCCGGCTTAGCAACTGGTGCCTCCTTGGTCTGGGGGGCCACCCTGGGTCCCCCTGCGGTTGATCGCCAAGTCGGGGAAGTGCAGGGGGACCCCCCAGAGTGCTTGGCAGCAGACGTGGAAAGAGTCTGGAAGTACTTCCAGTCCACTTCCAGGTTCACCATTGATTTGCGGCAGGGGGACCCCATGCTCCTGTAGGATGTTCCATCTACCCCACCATAGATCGCAGTGTTCATGATCCGTGCCTGGTACCTTGAGGTATGTAGAAAAAACATTTAAAGCTGTGTCTATGACTAAATAGCTGATTCTCTGAATCAGCATCGAATCTTCAGATTTGGATTCGGCTGAATAGAATCGGGACAGTGATCCGAATCAAATTGAATCACTCCCTGATTTGGGCTGAATCCGACTCGAATACGGCCCATTTCGCACACCTCTATTAGACGCCAAATAGAGGCCAAATATAAGTTAGGAGTTAACTATTTGCGGCACTCAAGCAGGTGAATAAGAGTTGAGTAGTTTTTCTTTTCAGGCCAAGGAAGGGATCCACATGAGCCTCTTTGCAATGTGACCTTTCTGTCCCTGGCAGGTGCATATCAGGCTGGACATACTGAGTGTCTACAGATCGCTACCCTGTCAGGAGAAGATTTTCACATTGGGCTGGAGTCAGATGCCTTCCTCCTACCTAACAATCTCAGGCCAGACTTCCAGGTGATGGCGTCATCTGTAGTAGAATCAAGAAACTTTGTGAGGATGGAACTAACGGGCTCATTCAACCTCTGTCTCTCCCAAGCTTTGTGGGACTTCTGGAAAGGCTTGCAGGAGCCTCTTGTCTCCAGTGTGTGAGCAACACATGATCTTTTTCAGTGCCTTGAGCAGGTGATCACTCAGTAACATCTTTTTTTCAGGTGAGTGATTTCCCCTCCCCACAAGGCCCTCAGCTTTTTAGTTTGCTGGCTGTCAGCAGTCAGATTTGGCAATACACTGATTGTGCCAGGAGATGAGGATGTTGTCACTCAGTTGATTGAGATTTTACCCCAATCAAGCTTCGGGATAAAAGTTAAGTGTTTTTTTTGTGGAAACATGACATACTTTTTAATCTATTTGAGATGGGCCAGTTGATGTAAATTTCTCTCTAAGTATTCTTTTCCAAACCTTTTGCAAGGGATCATTCTTGAGAGGATACTGATGCAGGAGTTCCCTTAATCAAAGGGTACTTTCCTGTCATGGAAGGCTTCCATATATGTGTTACATATGTGTATCAAGCAGAACTGACAGCATATCTTATTAAGGCTGCCCAAAACACTATTGTCAGTTGTTTAAAATTTAGCAGAATTATAAGCATTTGTGCTAAAATATTCCATGCCCAGCGTCTGCTTCAGGCTGAATATTTTTAAAGAAAGTTTCAGCCAAAAGAGGTCAGTCATTTCTAAGTCCATGACTGGAGTGGGGGAGCAGTTTTGCTTTGTTTAAAGTGTTTTAGGGAAGGGGGTAACAGGTTTTCTACAAATTCACCTATAGTACTTCCTTGTTCCTGAATAGTCTACACTGCAGAACTGCTCCAAACATTTATAGTCAAGTAAATTCACGTGCTAGCTCAGCACTAATTTCTTTCTAGACAACTCTACATGCATGGCATCAATGACATGTGGCTTAGGTATGTTAATTTGTGGAGGAAACCTATTTGGGGAGCTTAGGTTACAACCTTAAGTGTGCTCCTTTGCATACAAGAGCAAACCTTGTGTACCAGATCTGTGTCAGACTGTTTCTTTAGTCGTGTTTTAGACCTGATTGATTGTTTTTCCCACTGCTTTTACATGCTTGGCCTATAGATGGTGGTCTAAGAGCTGGATTATACATTACTGAGACTCACAAAATAGTTGCCACATAGTGGCTAAATCTTTTGCAAACAAAAGATGGAGAAACTAT